TCAGAAGTCTCTTGAGCCTCAGAGACTGTGGGCTTCCACGGAATTGGTCAGTACTGGGGACAGAACTTTAGGTGTGAGGCTTTGCTCTCTAGAGAATTTCCTCATCTGGCTTTTGACATCACTAGTGGGGGTCTTTGCAGCACTGGGGGATGCATGGTCACTAGTACTGGGCTGGAAGGCAGATGGTCACTTTGCATCCGAGGACCTGAAGGCGCCTTTGGCAGGTGCTTCTACTTGTCAAGAGGAGCTTGGTAAGGTTCGGACAGGACGCCAGGTTGTTTTCTTGGGTTGGCGGAGACATCAGTTCCGGCAGCTGTGGAGGATGTTTTGAGTTTCTCTGTGGGATTCTCTTTCAACTCCTGAAGGATCCTGTCAGACACGGGATGGGGCGGCTGGTGGGTCCGGCTCTGGGAAAGTAGGGGGGCAGTTTGCTTTGGAATTTCGCTCCAAGAATCATCAGCCAAGGGGTGGTTTGATGCTTCTCCCTCCCCACAGTATTTTTCCTTGGGCCAAATGCTATTTTTATTATTTCCAACAGAAAAACACATCCCACAGAAGTGACGTTAACAGCATCTCCAGGAAGGCTGCAGTGACGCTTCTCCAGCTGATGAAACAGGGGGTTGTCCCCACCTTGTGCCTGTTGCAGGGGGTCTCCAAACCAGACCAGTGAGCAGCCCCAGGTGTGGTGACCAGGTGGATGAAGAAGGGGAGGGTTGAGGCCTCTGGCCAGGGAGGTGTGTGCTGCTGGGTCCTATTCTGAGCCTGGGCATGTGTGCCATACATTTGGGATCAAGTACCCCACAAACCCTCAGGATTGTAAGGAGCGAATCCCACTGGTACCTTGTAAATAGAGTGAGCAAATTCTAAGGTGGAATCCAGACATTTGGCTGCAGTTTTGCTAAAGACTTTCGGGATGCGTTTGTCCGGGAATCCAGACTTGAGCTGAGCCACCAGCCAGATCTTGAGCTGCAAGGGTGACCCTGTGGGATTCTGGGGCATGGGGACAGGTGGGTTTCAATACCCCTGCTCTCCGCAGGGGCAATGCCCACGGTTCTGGCACTACCCTCCCTGCTTCCTTTGATCACGCTGCCTTTCCCGAAGTGTGGGTGTGGTGCACACGTCCGTCCTTCCTAGAGTGCACAGGAAGGCAATTGCAATTCAGTCTCGAGGCAGCCGGAAAGACCTGGATAAAGAGATTCCAAAATCCATGTGGAAGTGTGACAGACAAGAATCACCAGTATAACTTGGGAAAAGCCACAGCAAGGGGGCCGTTCTCACCAGGCAGTCACGTAAAGCCAGTACCAATAAGCTGTCACGAGAATCACAACGGTCTCTCACTCTGGTGACACAGGGTACACCCTTAAGACTTTGAGATTGGAATAAGGATCAGTGGAATGCCCAGAAGTAGATTCTATTTGTGGATAGACAGGAGAGAAGATGCTGACCTGCGATGGTGCCTGGCCTGGTCAGAGTCTCCTGAGAGCTGACAGCAGGATGAATTCCATGAGATCAACACGGGCAAGAATTCAGTCAGTAAAAAAGAATAAAGATCAGTGAACTTTATGAGTTAAGTGCCTATTTCTGAGCAATAGAGGCAACATTTGAGCACATACAGTTAGAAACTATAGCCAGACAGCACCATTAACTATATGAAAACCATCCCTTCAAGAGGCTAAGGCAGGAGGGTCAAAAGTTAGAGGACAGTTTAGGCAACTTAGCAAGTCCTGTCTCAAAAAAATAAAGGGGGGCTGGGGATGTAGCTCAGAGGTAGAGCACTTGCCTAGCCCTTGTGGGGACCGGGGTTCCATCCCCAGAACCACACATGCACGCGCTAGTGTGCACACACACACAAACACACACACACACACACACACACACACACACACGTGCACCAAAAAAGAAAAAAAAGGAAAAAAGTCACTCCAAAGATCACGTGTCCCATGAACTGTCACTTTATTGTGAAGAAGAGCCAAGTCTTGAGCCTGTTTTCTGCGTTCTGTTAGTTTGATTGCTATGAACTTTATTGTGAGTTAAATCTGTTTAAAAGGGTCTCATAGCCAGGTATGGTTGGGCATGCCTGTAATCTCAGCAGCTCGGGAGGCTGAGACAGGAGAACCAGCAACTCACCGAGGCCCTTAGCAACTTACCACGACCCTATCTCAAAAAATGAAAAGGGCTGGGGATGTGGCTCAGTGGTTGAGAGCCCCTGGGTTCAAACCCTGGTACCAAAATATAAATAAATAATAAAAACAAGTGTCTTAGACACCTGTGTGCAGTCTGACTTTTAAGGTATGAACTCCAGGTACCTTTGTTAGTCTGTTGTCATGTCAGTCATTAGTGAGGAAAGACGCACCTGAGAATTTTGGCTGCTGGATGTTTGATGGTTGCCGATGCCCTCTGTGCCAGGCTGGGCAGGGGAGCCAGGATCTGGGTAAAGGGCATGAGACTTAGGGAAAGAATAGCACTGGGCCTTCCTTCTGCACCAGTCTTGTTTGGAGAAGTGAGCTCTAGGATGGAGGTTCACCAGGTAACCTCTGGACCTGAGAAGGAGGGCTCCGCCTGGGGACAGTGGGCAGACCCCAGCCGCGGGTGCCTTGGGAGCAGGTGACAGCAGGTGTCCTGAACCAGGGACTCCCAGCAGGAAGCACCTGTCCTTTCTGTCCTGACGCCTGCTGGGGACTGTCCACCTGACAGCTGATGAGAGTGGACAGAGGCAGAATCACAGTGAGGTCAAGAAAGCTTGGCTGCAGTAGCTCTTTCACCCTGGGAGGGGAGGGCTAGGAATTCATGCAGGGGGTGGCTGTGGCTTTGTAAAACTGACAAAATAACTTCTGTTTATGACTCTGCTTCAAGAGAGTCTCTAAATTTTATGTTGTAGGCCCCATAAAACCTGGATCCTGCCCTGCCCAGAGATCTCCTTCTAACCCAGAATCTGTCCACATTCTTTCCTTCTTCCTCAGATAAGCTGGAGACACGTCTGAGGCTGTGAGTCATCTCTGCCCTGGGGGCAGGGTGCAATTCAGAGAGCATCCCTGAACTCTTCCAAGGTGCTGATCTGTCCACTCACACACCCTTACTGGCCATCCCTTTGTGCCAAGCCAGCTCCAGAGAGAGGATGAGATGCAAAGTTGGGAAAAATAGCTGGGTGTGGTGGCACACGTCTGTAATCTCAGTGACTCTGGAGGCTGAGGCAAGAGAGTCCTAGCCTTGGCCATTTAGCAAGACCCTTTCTTACAATGAAAAGGCCTGGGAATGCAGCTCAGTTGAAGAGTGGCCCTGGGTTCAATCCCTAGTACCCCTCCCCTCAAACAAGGTGGGAAAAAATGGATGGTCCTATCACACTGTTCCAAAGTTAGAGAGACACTCAACTAACTTGTGTCTATACCCACAGGATGGGGCGGGGTGCTGAGGTGGGCACTAGGGAGGTTTTCCTGAAGGCAGACCCTGGTCTATGTGAGGGTAGATCAGGAGGAAACGGTTCCTGAGCTGGGGCATGGGCCAACCAGGCTTGGGACAGCTGCTACTACCGAGATCCCAGGGAGGGGTGGGTGGAGGGGTGAGATCGAGGGCAGGATGGGGCAGAATGGGTCCTGTTTGGAGGATCAGCAAGCGGAGCTGCCAACCCGTGTTTGAGATCCAGAGTCCAGTGAACTGCCTGCCATCTATTCTGTGCCTTCAGTGTTTTTTTCTGACTTTCAGGCAGCAGAGCATGGGGCTGGCAAATGTCCTGGAGCCAGACCCCCATGTTCCAGTGTTCAGTTCCCAGACGGGCAGCCAGAAGCCAGGGGCAGGGCTGCCTCCTCCTTTCCTTTGACCTGAGGTTCCTCGAGTGTAGAGCAGGAGTTACTGCTGGGCTGACCTGACAGATGTGCCCCTCCAGGTGGTGGGAAGGGCTCAGATTCCGTGCGTGCGTGCGTGCGTGCGTGTGTGTGTGTGTGTGTGTGTGTGCACGCGTGCCTGTGTCTCCTTTGCTCTGGACAGTTGTGATTCTCCATCTCCCAAGCCCCTCCAGGGGCTCTCTTCAGAGCTGGCTGTTAGGGGAGGGGGATTCTGGAGCCTTCAGGGTTCATCTTACTCAGACCACCGCGGGTGTGGGAGGAGGAGGTCCCAGGCAGAGGGCCTGCCAGCAAGGTGCCTCAGATGCACCAGCTGGGACTGGCACATTGGCCCTCACACACCTGGGTGTGACACTCACTCTTGGCTCCACCAGATCCTGTCCAGACTGGACCTCCCCAGGCTATTCAAAAACCGCTGGGAGAGGCTGGCCCTCACTAACCCCAGGGCCTCCGATTTCAACCCTTGGGACAGCTGGTCCTTGCACTGGAGCCGGTCACTTCCAAACCAAAACCGGGGGTAAAAGAAGAAAAGCAGATCACGGAAGGGCTCTGTCCTCGGCCGCCACCTCCAAGAGCACTCTGCACAGAAATACGAATAAAGATGCGTGGAGTGGTTGACCAACAATGTAGGAGGTACCCGGGGGGCTGCAGAGGCTGCCCACCCAATCCCCAAGTTCTTCCCCAAGCAGGACCAGCATGGATGAGATGCCAGGGCTGGACGGAGGGTCCACGAGGAGGACAAACTGAGGCTGCTTTCCCTGGGAATCTTGAGAAGGAAGGGGAGGCTGAGGGCTGTCCCCGGAGTCCGGGGTCTGGGGCCAGGGGTCCGTGGAGACCTGTCTCTGCAGGGTGTGCGAGGCGTGCCTCTCTTGTTCTCCGCGGGGCGCGGGGGTTGGCTCTAGGTGGGACCAGGCCTGGGACTTTCAGCCTGAGATAAGCAGAAGCGTGAAGGGGCTCTGCTTGCGGGGTGGGAGTCTGGGGGACGCGGGGAAGGGCGGTCTGCCCGCGGGCCAGGGGTAGGGGAGCCGCTGGAAGAGGAGCCCTGGGCGGGGCCGAGGGCGTGTGGGGCGGGGCCTAGGTAGGGGGCGCGTCCTGGGCGGGTGGGGGCAGGGCTATGGGCGGGGCCGGGGCTGGGGTCGGCCGGGCCCCGGGCGTGTCGCGGGCGGGACGGGCCTCTCCCGCGCCCGGCTGGGCTCAGTCTGCCCACCGCTCACAGGGAGCGAGTGGCCGGCTGGACCTGGGTGAACTGGTCTCCGCACGGCCCTTCGGGCGCGGGCGGGAAGCCGGCTCCTGGGCACCTGTGCTGCACCCCGCGCACTCTCCCCGGCATGGCGCACGCGGAGACGGCGGCTCCGGGCCGCAGGGCCGGCCTGTGAGCCTCGGACCCGAGAGGCACCGGGGGCTTGGCCGCGCGCACGATGCCTTTCCCAGCGGAGGCGAGGGCGACCCCGAGGGCGACGGGGCGCGCGGTGGCCCCGGCGCTGCTGCTGCTGCTGCTCTCCGCGGTGCGTGCGACAGCCCCGCTGCGACCCCTGCCCCCGCTGCAGCCCAGCATGTGAGTCGCGGGAGCAGGAGAGGCTCCTCGGGGCGTCGGAAACCGGGACCGAGCTCCTGGGCTTTGTCCCGGGGCCCCAGAACAATGGGCTCTTTGCCTTAAGTGGGGACAGGGTTCCTGGTGGGGTCTGGGAGCCCCTGTGGCAGGCCTGTGCCTCCTCCCTCACGGCCTCTGTGATGTGCGTCCTGCCTGCTCAGGCAGATGCTGAGCTGGGGAGGGAGGTGAGGAATCCGGGCCCCCTGCCCGGCACGGTCTAGCCTGGGAGCCGGCTTGGACGGCAGAGGAAGCGGCCTGCTCCCACTTCCTCCAAAGCCTGTCTCCTGGGGTCTGGGGGCCTTCGCAGGGGCGGGGTGTACCCAGACGGGGCTGCAGAGCTGGTTTGTGTGTTAAACACGTGTGCTTTGGAGCTGCAGGGAGAAGGAATTCAGTACCAGAATGGGCAGGAAGAGAGGGTCAGGGAGCCAGCCGAGATGAATTTAATTTTGAAAGATGATTCCCCAACGGGCCATTTAGCGGTCTCTCTTTAACAGCAAAGCAATCCCTGTGTTGGCCTCAAAGGAAAGTGGAGGAGGAGGAGGTGGGGAGAGCCTGTTGGCTGCCCCCCACTCCAGCACTCCCTGCAGGGTGCCTGGGCTTGGGGCCGGCCAACCTGGCAAGGCCTTTGCCAGCTGTAGAGGGGCTGGCCAGGGCCTGGGCTCAGCTCACGTTGGGGCCTCCCAGCCGCCACCCTGAAACCCCCTTCAGGGGCCACAAAGGGCTTCTCAGGCTCCTCCTATCCAGCCTTCTGGAAGAGGGCCTGGCGCTGGGCCCCTCTATGTACCTGGCTGTGGAGGATAGAGAGGCGGCCCCTGGGGATGGAGTGGACAGGGTTCCACACTGGGGGGAGGCAGGCAGATTCCTTCCCCCAGAGCCTCTACTCTGGGTCTTGCTTTGCTCCAAGAAGGAAGATTTCCTGTGGTCTCTTCCACAGAGGACCTCCTCTGTGTTGGGGACCTTTCATCCAGAAACTGAAAGGTCTGCTCCTCAGCTCCAGGGGACTTCTGCTGGACACTTCTGCTTCCTGTGGTCCCCGTGCCTTTGTCCAAGGGGAGCTGCAGCCCCACAAGGGGTTAGCACACAGGCTTCGGGCCACTTGACTGCCTGCTTCTCCTACGGCTGCCAGAAGACGTGGGGCTCTGATCCTGAGGGGCAGAGCTCAATGGTGGACGTTTCTGCTCTTGAGAGAGGCTTCTGCCCCTGCTGCACTCACGAAAACTGCTGGCTGCCTGCCTTTCTGGGTCCCCATCCAACTTGCCCAAACTTGCTGTTCTCTCCTGGAGTGGAGCAGGGGTCTTTCCTGTGTCCTACTCGCTCACCTGGCCTCTGGGAAGCCTGGAGCCAGGCTGGGAAGAGCTGTGGCTCCTTCCAGATCCTCCCCTCCCATTGCTTTTCTCTGCTCTTCAATCCTGTGGCTGCCACCCTGGGGGATTTTGTCCACTGTTTCCTGGCCCTGTCTCCATAAGATAAGGCCTTTGTTCGCAAATTGCCCCTTGCAGGTGGGTCTGAGTTCCAGGTTGGCTGAGGTGGCTGTGTGTCTGCCACAGGCCTTCTGTCACCTCGCCACCTGCATGTGCCTGGATGCACAGTAGGGCTGCAGTGGGCCCTGGCTGGCTGGGGGAGCTCCGATTAGAACAGAGGAGGTTTCTCTCTTGGCTGGGAGAGGAGCCGTTTGATCTGCTGAGCAGAAGGAAGTGGAAACCTGTAGACTGCAGGCACTTTGCTCTCTCCCTTAGAGGAGCAGGGGAGGCGCTGGACAAGCAAGAAAGTGCTGGTCCTGTGTCCCCTGTCATCCTTCCCCTCGGAGAGCTCCTGGGAGCTGGGAGGCTCTGGCCCAGGCAGCTGTGCCTTCTGCCTGGTTTTCCTAGTCTGTCAGCTCCTCCATTTAATCAGTTCTGTGACCTGCTGCCCAGGGCTCCCAAGGTGGGTGCTAAAAGTCATGGGCTGCTCCACTGACCAGCCCCAGGTGCCCCTGGACATTTGTGAATCTGCTAGGGCAATGTGGATGGTTCTCTTTCTCTGGCTCCCCCTGTCCAGGTGGTCCTATTTGGAGCCCTCCCAGGAGTGGGCAGAACTTACCAGTCTGCTTGTTTTTGCCTCTGAGTGAGTTTCTGTGGCCCAGGGAGAATGGCTGGCCTTTCTTTCCTGGGCCCTGGAGCAATTGCTGACCACACGAGGGGATGGTGATGCTGCCACCGGGAGCAGGGTATCGGGTGGGAAGGCCAATGACCCACATGCTGCAGCGCTGGCCAGACTTGAGGTCCCAGCTCCGTCCTAGGAAATGCAGCTGCTCCAGGGCACAAGGCTTCCCCAGGACTAGAGTCCCCTCTGGGCAGCTCTGCTAAGATCAGCTCATGACGTTGACCCTTCTCTCTGTCCTGCAGCAGTTTTGGGCCTTCAAGCTCAAGTCCCCTCTGCATGTAGGTTTTTGGACCTGGCCCATATTCTTCCAGGCTGGTTCCACTAGCGTGGCTCTCAGGAAGCTGTGCCCAGCCACCTGTGGGTGTCAGAAAGCTGAACTGTGCTTTGAGCGGCTGTGGTGGCCGTGGTTTTTTTTTTTTTTTTTTTTAAATTATCATTATTATCTAGTTGTAAATTGGGCACAATACCTTTATTTTATTTATTTCTATGTGGGCTGAAGATTGAACCCAGGCCCTGCACATGCTAGGTGAGCACTCCACGCTGAGCCTCGCTCGACCCCAGCCCCGGTGGTGGCTGTTTTGAGCTCCCTTTTGAGACTCAACTGTCCCACAGGTGAGGGTGCTTCCGAGTCCAGGTTGAGCTCTGCAGCCTGATGCTCAGAGGTCCTGTGCCTTAGCCAGCCCCACCTCCTCTTCCTGCCCTTCCACCCTGGGGTGAGGATGGGTGGCCAGGGACAGTGCAGGTGAGCAGAGCCGAGGGGCAGAGTGGCCAGCATCAGTTGGCCCTCTCACATGGGGTCCCCAGTGTGCAGGGACACCAGCTCACTCCTAGGGCCATCAGGGGTCCCCTCCATCCTGGCTCATTTCACCCCTCCCAGTGGGCGGGGTCAGAGCTGTGAGTCCTCATTTACAGGTGGGGAAACTGGGCAGAGGCTCAGGAACCTGCACACGTTGGAGAAGGTGCATGGGGAGCCGGGAATCAGATGGCACCTTCGGCACAGCCTGTTCTGCTGGCTCCGGTGCTGGACCAGGGCTCACACTGGGTGTGCGACAGTCTTCCCTGGGCTCCTCACAGCACCAGCCGCTGCTGAGACCTGGAGGAACGCCAGGCTCCAGGCCCAGAGTCTCCACTTTAGTGGGTCTGGGGGAGGCGTGGGGAGGCTTGAGAGTGGGGGTGTGTGTTGCTGGGTTTGGACCCAGGGCCTCACCCTTGCTAGGCAAATGCTCTACCAGTGAGCCACATCCCCAGCCCTTTTTAAATTTTTATTTTGAGACAGGGTCGTGCTAAGTAGCTGAGGCTGGCCTGGAACTTGCCATCCTCCTGCCTCAGCCTGCTGCATCACTGGGATTACAGATGTGTACCATGGTGACCTTCTGAGCTGTGCCTTTCTGACAAGTTCCCTGGAGATGGGGTTCCTGCCTGGGGACCCTGCTTTGAGAACCGCTAAGTGAAGCTGCACCACTTTAGCCCAGTGCCAGGGTGAATGGGTGGACCAGTTCTGTCCTCCACCAGGAGCAAGTCCTTTAAGATGTCTGACTTACAATCTTGGGTCAGCCACAGGACAGCCTGTTTTTTGTTTTTGACATCTGGGGACACGATACCTCTATCAGAGGGAGGGAGGTGGGGAGCAGCCCCCTGTGAAGGAGTCAGTAAGAGGAGCCTAGTGATGAGGGGGAGAGAAACGTCCCAGGTGTGATGTGGGGCCGAGGGCCGGAGGGCAGAGCTGTGGCCTGGGGTGGGGAGGCAGCCCCTGGCGGCGGCCTGCCTAGGCTGCCCTGCCCAGGGGAGGGACAGCACCCCGGCCACCTTCTGTTGGTCCTGGAAGCAGCCAAACCCACCAGCCAGAGGCCGTGTGTTCACGTGGGGGGTGTGCAGTTTGTGAGGTCGCCTCCTGGGGCACAGAGAGAAGCGGGGAGAGGGTGGTCCTGGTAGGCCGTGAGGTCCTCTGGCATTGGTGGGATCAGGCATGAGACTGGGGGGACTCGGAGCCCTGTGTCCAGGACGCAGCCCGAGGAAGGCTGATGAGCCCTTCCCTAACGAGGGGACCCCCGTTCCTGGCTCACTCCCCTGCCTGGCCCTCTCTCCATAAACTCAGGAGGGACCCTTGGCCTGCCACAGCTCCTGGGAAGCTGTGGCCCGCGTCCTGTGCAGTCATCTGAGAGGCCCGGAACCCCAGAGCAGGCCTGGCTCCACATCTTATTAATGCAGGGAGCCACCGTTACCTCCTTCCAGGAGTGTTGGGGACATCCGTCCCCCCTGGCCCATTGCTCCTGGCTGGGGGAGCCGGGGGTGTGGAGGCTGTGAGGCCGGAGCAGCAGGTTCCACTGGGAGCTCACAAGAGAGCCTGGATCCTGATCCTGGGCTGCCCTGTCCTGCACCTTGAGGATCCTCACCCTGCAGTCACCCCGACGTGGGCTGGCTGGCCTCTGCCACGGAAGACTGCAGGAGGGGTGTGAATGGGACGTCTCGGGCAGCCTGGTCCTGGGGACTTGACTGGGGATTTGGGGTTGGTTCTGCCCTGGCCACCAGTCTTTGATGGTCAGCTGGGGGCGGAGGACCTCGGCCTTGGTGCTGTGGCCAGGCCAGGCTGGGGACCCAGCTTCGTTGGTGCTTTCATCTTGGCTGCAAAGCAGAGCCGCTGTGTGGCTCCCTGAGGGGCGGGCTTCCCACCCAGCGAGAGCAGGAGGAGGAGGAATAAAGTCCTCGGTTGCAAGAGCATCCGTCTGGGGGTGGCTGGCCCAGGGCCAGGTCCTGGGACAGAGCAGCTGGGGTCTTCCAGGGCTGAGCCTGGGGACCCCCAGCAGACCAGACAGACGTCGGGGCCGTCTGGGAAGCAGGAACTTCTGCCCAGGTGGACGGTTTGAAAACAGAGGCTAGGGATGTGCTGTGTCCCCTTGCAGAGCAGGGAGCTCAGCCAGGAGGTTGGGAGAGAAGTGGCCTCCTGCCTGCTCTGCTACCCCCAAACGGTGGTGGGGCCCAGGTGCTGGATTTGCCAGGCTCACTGCAGTGTACCCCCAGGTAGCATGCACTGTGGTCCACTCCACAGGCCCTGCCCCTCGTGTTGGGGATCAAGCCCAGAACCTGGTCCTGCTGGGAGAGCCTGGTCTCCTCTTCCTGAAGGTCCCACAGAATCCTGCTGCCTTCGGACTTGGTCCGACTCAATGCTAGCACTTAAGTCGTGTCCTCTTTTACTGAAACTTGTCTTTGGAGGTCACCTGACCTGGGTGAGCCCAAGCTCTGGGCATCCACCACCTCCCGAGGGCATGGATCATGTGCAGGGGGCGCTGGGTTTGAACCGGGCCTCACTCACCTGTGCAAGCAAATGCTCTACCACTGAGCCACCTCTCAGCCCTTTTTGTTTTTTACCTTGAGACGGGGCCTTGCTGACTTGCTTGGGGTGGTCCCTCCACCGACCTTTCCCCACCTCACAGCCTGATGGGCATGGGGGTTGGTCTTACGCTGACCGCCCCCAGAGCTGGCTTTTCTCTGGCCTGGTTCATGCAGTCCCTGGGGTGGGGACCTGCAGAAAGGGGAGTCCTCTGGGTCTTGGCAGGGGTGGGGACCATGGCTCTACTTTTCCATTTCCTGCTCCTGGGAGGGGATGCCCTTCTCACTGTGCCAACAACCCGCAGGGCTCAGAGGGTGCTGGGAGTGACTGAGACCTCAGGCATGGGGCCGGGAGGGCCGGGTGGAAAGAACAGAAGCCCTGGGCCGGAGGACTGAGCCATCCTGAGGGCTGGGCGGGCCCTGTGTCCTCCCCCCCCCCATCTGGAAGTGGTGTGGGGCCTTCCTGGCCTGGCTCCTGGGGGATCAGGCAGCTCCTTGGGCAGTGTGTGGTCCCTGTGTGGGGACACTTGGTCCTGGTTCCTCTTCGAACCCCCCTCACCCTTGAGCCTGGGTGGGCACTGGGAGGGCTGTGCTCTGGAGGCCTGGCCTCCCAGGGCCATGTGCCGGAGGGGTCTGTGCCAACCAGTGGTGGGTGGTGAGATGCTGACTGTCCCTGTTCTCTGTCCCAGGCCCCATGTGTGTGCCCAGCAGGAGCTGACCCTGGTGGGCCACCGCCAGCCCTGTGTGAAGGCCCTCAGTCGCGTGGTGCCCGTGTGGAAGCCGGGCTGTGGGCGGCAGGCATGGTGCATTGGCCACGAGCGCAGGTAGGTGCTGGGCACCTGGGGCTGTGGGGCAGGAGCTGGGCAGTGGGGGCTGGGGCTGTGCCCATCAGGGCCACCGGATGCCCCCTCTGAGGACAGAGTGCCAGGGAGGCTCCAAGTCACAGCTCTGTGGAGAGGTGTGGGGCCCCACCAGGGACGGGTGCTGGGCACACCCGGCAGAGAGCCCGAGCTCACCGGCTGAGTTCCGGCTGGAGGCCATTGCTGCCTGACCCTTGGGCCTCTCCCAAGCCCACGTGAAACCTTTCATTGCTCAATATTTTATTTCAAAATCAAGCTCAAGGAGTTCTTTTTTATGCCCCTCCTGTTTACAGACTCAGCACCGTGGAACCTGCCTGGGTGCAGACTGGGGGGGCCTGGCTGTGGCCCCCAGTGGGTGGAGGAAGGAGGGGTCCTGGGAGGAGGGGTGCTCAGCCAGGGCTGCAGGGGTCCTGGCCCTGCCCTGGGCTACCCTCCTGGGGTGCAGGGTGGTGGCTCCATGTCTGCTCGGCCTGCTCGGGGGCTCGGGGGCGGCGAGTGAAGGTCTGTTGGCTGGACAGTTAGTTCATCATCTGCCGAGTGAAGGAGGAGGAGTGTGGTTGAGTGTGGCCGCTTCTCACCTGGGGCCATTTTGTCGTCCCCCACCCCGCAGTGCCTGGAGACGGGTTTGGTGCTGGGAGGTGGGCTAGGGGACAGGAGCTGTGCATCCAGCAGGAATGGCCTGGGCAGGAAGGACAGATTCCTCATTGCTCTCCAGGGGCTGCTCCCCGCAGCTTCCAGGGTGTGCGGTAGAAACAGGGATTCGGTAGCCTAGACGCGGGTCCCCATCCCCACCTTGGGGAGGGTGGTTTCTGTGATGGGTGGCCAGTTGGAGGAGCCTCCATGACTTCCCCGCTGTGGCCTGTTGTGGCTGGACGCAGGGTGCAGTGTTTCTAAGGTGGCTGGGTGGGCAAGGTGACCAGGAAGCCCCAGAATCTGGAGGACTTACTATCTGGGTCAGTGCCGATGCATCCACGGCCTCCCTGCCGGGGTTGTGCTTGGGCCATGCTGTCAGGGTTTCCCGGGTGGCTGGGGCCTGTGCAGGTCTGGCTCCAGGACTCCGGCCCTGGCACGGTTCAGCTCAAGATGTCCGGACCCTTCTCCAGCCCTCCCTCCCAGGAACGTGGCAGTTCTGCCATGGGGTTCAGTGGGAGCAGTTTGGGCTCTGGGTCATGGGGGGCAGGGCAGCTGTCCAGTCTGGCTGGCTCTGGAATGTGGCTCAGGTCTGCCTTTGCTCCACGCCCACTCCTGGTAGCCTGAGTGCTCGCAGGGCCTCGGTGCCATGGGGACAGTGTTCTGCCTGGCCTACAGGCACTGTCACCCCTGGCTGTGGTGGCCAGGCTTGCCCCAGTTCAGTGTGCGTGGAATGCGCAGTCTCTCTTCCCCTCTGGTGTCCCTTCCCAACCTCTGGGAACTGGGCACAGCTGGGCCGAGTTGCAGGCCATGTCTCCACATGCCTGTCCACGCCTGTCCATGCCTGTCCAGCCCAGGTGGTGGAGCTGAGAGGTCTGTCTGCTGCACCTTCCTGCTTACCCTTCCCCAGGAGCTGGCCTGACCCCATCCTCTTCTCCCCATCTGCCCAGTCCAGTCCAGTGAGCCGCCTCCGTGGACGCCACTCCTCCTTGCAGTGGTCCCGGAGTCCCCGTCCCTGACTGGAGCCCTCAGGCCTTGTGTGGTGCCCCTGAGTCCTGGGCCTAAAGACAGTCACGCGACCAGGAGCTGGCCATGGCTGCAGTGTCCCAGGTGGCACTCGGCATCTCTCCTGCTTCTGTGGGGACAGCACATGCTGTGCAGAGCCTCGGCTGGTCCTGGGGAGGGCGGGAAGGAGGTCCCCGGCTGGAGGAGGGCTGGGCTTGGAGGAGGCTCGGAGGCAGGGCAGGCCTCTGGCCCCGCAGCCTGGGCTGGGGGGCCCTGGGTGGGTCCCTGAGCAGCGTGGGCGCTGAGTGGGCTGACAGGAGCCAGTGCGGGCTGTGGGCTTCGTCACCCTCCCCGCCCTACCTGCTGTTTCAGCACCTTATGCCACAGGCGCAGATCGGAGGTGCCCTGGAGTGGCCTTCCCAGCTGCTGGGCACAGAGCAGGGCAGGGAAGCTGAGCGTCTGCGGCAGGGAGAGGGCAGGAGCTGTCCCCACAGCTGCTGCTCCCTGGACAGCTGTGTGGGCATCCAGGACAGCCAGGCTGCGTTTCTTCAGACCCTAAAAGGCAGGCAGCGAGCGCCTTGACCTGAGGAAACCGGTGCCCAGGGGTTTGGCGCTGGGCTGTGGCTTCCCGGGACTCAGTGGCAGGGCTGAAGCTTTAGCCTGGGGCCCTGGCTCCGGTCCGAGCACTGGCAGCGAGGCCTGCAGGCTGCTGCACTCCTACCCATCCTCCAAAGCCCACTCCGAGGTGCCCTCTGTGGAGCCGTCCTCCACCTCTGGGGGACCAGCGGACGTCTTCATGTCCCCGCATCTCTCTTGGGGGTCACTAAGGCTTGAAGGCTGCCGGGGGCCCGGAGCAGCAGGGTGGGGAGTATGATGAAAGCCCAGCAGGGAGGCCTGGCCATGGTGGGCAGCAGAGCTGGTCCAGTCCGGCCCCAGCTCTAGGAGCACCTCTGGGCCTGGTTTGGCCTGGCCTGGCAGGCGCTTCCCTCAGCTGGGACCAGGAGACCGGGACCTCTCCTGGCCTTGGTGTTGGCAGGCAAGCGCCACGCATGTCCCTCAGCCTGGGGACTTGGCTCTGCTGCCCCTGGCCTCATGCCTGGGCCAGGGATGCTTGTCAGGCTGCTCCTGTTGGCCACCGGACGAGCCAGTGACAGGTGACTGTGCTATGGACACTGTGAGGCCAACGGGCCCCAGGTATGGGCTCTGCCTGCGGGTGACGGCCACCACCTGTTGGGCCCCAGGGCCCTGGCCCTGCGGCCTGGCCTCTAGCCCTTCTCACTCTGACAGTTCTGTGCAGAGAATTCTCTGGTTTGTTGAGCAGGTTGCAAAGGGGCTGAGCGGATGTGAGGGCCAGCAGTGTCCCCCCCACACCAGCTGCACCCCAGCTTCCCTGGACAGACAAGGGCACCTCCTCTCCAGCTCTTTGGGGGTGGCCACCAGGGCCAGGGGTCACAGGACAGACTCTGTGTCCACGTGCTTAGGCCAGGTTCAGGGCCATGGGGGCCTCAGTTTCCCCGTCCGGTTGAGCTGGGGTCAGGATCATGGGCCACACACAGGCTCCCCGAGTGCCTGTTACCTGGTGGCTCCTGCACCCTCTGGGCAGGAGTTGGCTTTGCGTCTGGGTCTGGGCTGTCGAGTCTGTGCCTGGCTGTGGGCAGGGCCGTGTGGGTGACAGGGCGCCTGGCCTGGCCCAGAACAGGTAAGGCTGCGCTGGCACCTGGCCTCCCGCCAGCGTACAGGGCCTTCCCCAGCAAACCCGAGAGCCAGGGCCGGCCGCTCAGGCTGCATGAAGCCACGAGAGAGGAGCGAGGTCCTCCAGAGGAAGGAGGGCGACCTGTGGCCCTCAGCACGGAGCTGGCCCTGCTCCTGCCAGGCCCAGACCCTGCAGCTGTGGCTCCACTGGGCCTCCCTCCCAGCAGCCTCGTCCCTGACCCCAGCCTGTGGGAATCAGCTCCCGGTGGCACTGGCTGCAGGGGAACAGGGATCAGTCCTCAGGGGCTGACGGTTCCTCTCCCAGGGTCCTTCCTTTAGGGGCCATGGGATGGGATGACTCGTGGCCGGGAAGAGCAGCTGGTACCCTGGCCCTGCGGCAGCCATGCTGTTTACACTGCGAGGCGTGCGCTTGGGCTCTGCTCCATGTCGTTTGCCGCGGGTGGGTTTGCGCAGGCGAGTGGTTTCATGTCGGGCCAAGGTGTTGTGCAAGGCGCTCCCAGCACCTCCGAGTGCAGGGCCTGGTGTGGACGTGTGCGTCCGGGAAGTGGCCCCCGCCCTGTTTGTTTGTTGGGCCTGGGGCCTGGGCCAACTCTGCTTCCCATGTGCCAGCCCCAGCAAGGAGGTGGTCTGTCACTTGGAGGCGACAACTCAGGCTGCCTGGCCACTCCCAGAGGCTCGAGGGCCCCAACACAGTGGCTGTGGGCTGGCCCCTGGATGCCATCCCTGTGGACCGTGAGGGACTGGAGGGGGTGCTGTGCTGGAGGCTGTGCTGGGCTGGGCCTCCCATCGTCCCTCCTTGGCTACTCTTTCCTGTCTCTCAGTCTCTCTGTACCTGTCTCTCTGTCTCTCCGGCCCGGTTCCGTCACTGTGAGCACAAAGGCCTCTCAGCCACAGGACCCGGGGTGTGTGCCAAGCTCTGAGCCCCTGTGTTTCCTGGGGCTCCTACAACAAGCCATGACAAACCAGGTGGCTTAAAGCACCAGGAATTTGTCCTCTGGCTGTTCGGGAGGCCTGGAGTCCCCGGCCAGGTGTGGGCAGGGCTGGTTGCCCCTGGAGAGACGGAGGGGCCCCTGCCCTTGCCTCTTGCGGTTTTCGGGCTGCGGCTGCTGGCCTCACAGAAGTGTCCCTGGATCACAGCCTCTACTTCACACGGCTTCTCCCTGTGTGTTCGTAAGGACACCAGGAGGCTAGGGTCCATTCCAATCTAGTACGGCCTCATCTTAACTAAGTAACGGTGAAGCAAAGACCTTATTTCTGGATCAAGCCCTGTTCCAGGTGGACATGAGTTTGGGGAACACTGTTCAACCCAGTACAAGCAGCAAGAGGCGGCATTGGAGTGGACGGGGCAGATGGCCTGGGAGGGGCCTTGCTGACTGCAGCTAGAGGCTGTTTGGGTGGGGGAGGGCCAAGAGCAGGGTCACCCCTCAGGAAGGACGCCTGGTACCACCTTGGACCAGCCACCCAGCCCTGGGCCCCTCAGGCATGAAGCTTACTCCAAAAGCCATCCCCCCTAGGCTGGGCGCCTCCACTCTGAATCCCCCAGTCCTCCCAGCCTGGCCGGAGCTGAGACCGGGGCGTGGGCCAGGTGGGAACGTGACCCCAGCTTGGAGCAGGCCCACCGTGGGAGTTGGGGGCCGGGCGGAGGGAGTGGGGTAGCATGCAGCAGGAAGAGTGCAGGCCAAGACTGCTGCTGGCTCTGCATGGCTCCTCCTGCATGCTGCACCCTGACCCGGCCGCAGGGGCACATGGGTGTAGGCAGCAGCCACCCCACCTGGGCCACGTGGGAGCCAGTCTCCCGGGTGTGGAGGGAGCCACGGTGTGCTGCTCCTCAGTGGCCAATGTGTCCTTCCTTCTTTTCCAGAACCGTCTACTACACAGGCTACAGGCAGGTGTATGCTGCAGAGGCCCGCACGGTGTTCCGGTGCTGCCCGGGATGGAGCCAGCAGCCGGGTCAGGAGGGCTGCCTCTCAGGTGAGTGTGCTTGTCCCTCTGCACCTGCTGCCCAGCAGAGGCCTGTCTGGCGGGTGCCCTCCCGGCTTTGGCCCCGGGGCTGCAGGCCGGGGTCTTCTGCACTGGGTACAATTCCCCACAGCGATGCCAGAGGCCCAGGGTCACTGGTCCGGCAGCTCGACTTGCCAGGGGCTGTTAAAGGGAGGTGGCAGAGAAAAACGGAGCAGCGACTCCCAGCACTGCAGCTGGCAGGAGCGTGGCCAGGGAGGGCTGTGGCTGTGGCACAGGTGTGGGCAGCCCCGTGCGTCCAGCGTGGCTCAGGTGCTGTGCAACCTGGGACATCAGGACGGGTGGCTGGGGCTGAGAGCAGGCTGGGCCCAGGATCGCGTCCTCTGAGACCCACGACGGCTCTGAAGCCTGGTTTGTGAAAGGATGCGGCTTGTGGCTGTAGGACTGGCCACAGGGACCATGTGGGAAGGGTTCCCGGCCTGCTGGCATGGGGACAGGGGACAGGCAGGTGGGTGTGGGGCAGGTGCCCTGGCAGGTGAAGCTGACTGGGTGAGGAGTCAGCCCCCTCTTCTGGGAGGTTGTGGGGTGGCTGGGAGGTGAAGGTTCGCGGGCCGTGGCTCCTGGGTTTCTTGAGTCCCCTCCTGGGGACACAGTCACTGGTCCTGAGCCCAGCGTGAGCAGGATAAAGGGAAGGGAAGGGACGGGCGTTTTCCAGGAGGGAAGTGAGTCACCGTCCAGGACGTGAGCAAAGGAAGGAGGGAGCAGTGGCTGACTCCAGGGGACGGGTCAGGGTGGGACACTGGCCTGCTCCCCTGAGCCAGGGGGCGGGGTCCCAGCCTGGCGGACAGTCGAGGGCACTTCTCTGGCTCTCTGATCACGCCTGACCGTCTCTGCCTGGAGGAACACAGGGCACTGGTGACAGCCCTGGGGCAGAAGCAGGGTGGCAGAGGAAGCGGGGTGTGCTGTCCAGGCCCAGCTAGGTGTGCAGGGCAGTGCTAGCCACTGGTGTCCCCTGGGCCCCCTGCTGGGTCTGGGGAAGGTTGCTCTTCACTGTCTGGAGTGACCAACCAAGGTCAGGGGTGGAGGCAGATGGGGCCAGGGCCAACCCCTACTGCAGGCCGGGCAGGTGCTGGCTTTCTGGGAAAGTGAGGCCACCCTGGGGTCGGTGTGGCAGGTCCTACTGACTGTGTCCCTCTCTCCCGTCCCTGTGTCTGGCATGAGCTCTGGGTGTGTCCCAAAGGTCCTGCTGGCCTGTCTGCACCCGCTGTCCCACCCCCGTGGGACCCTCAGGCTCCAGTGGGCGTGGTGGCCACTGCCCAGGGACATCACCCAGTGCCCTCAGGGGAGGGCTCTCTGCCAGATCCTCCCAGGCAGCTTGGCCGCAGCAGTGGAGGAGCTGGGCTGGGCAGTGGGGCAGCAGGTGGGTCTCTTGTCACGTGGGACGTGGCGCCGCAGGTGCCCACCTGGAGCTGGGCTCTCTAGCTGTTTGTTTTGAAGTTCACTTTTAGTGCAGCGTCGGCTTGCTTACGTGTTTCATTTGTCTGTTTGAACAATCCCCGTCCAGCCACGTGATCTGGCTTCTCCGGCCTCTCCCCATTCACCCAGGCGTCGGGCCCCAGAGTGAGCGGCTGGGGGAGGGGGGCAGGGTGCTGTGGGCTTGTCCCCGCCCAGGGCTCGGGGCTCCAGCACGTTCTGTGGTGACCTGTGTCCACTCCTTGTTTGTTCAATCACCTATTTACACACTCGCTCACACTCACCCATTCACTCACTCACTCACCCACTCACTCACTAACCCATCCACTCACTCTCTCACTCTCACCCATTCACTCTCTCACTCACACTCACTCATTCACTCTCTCACTCTCACCCATTTACTCACCCACTCACACTCACTCATTCACTCTCTCACCCACTCACCCACTCACTCACTCACCCATTCACTCACTCACCCACTCACCCACCCACTCACCCGCCCATTCACTCACCCGCCCATTCACTCACTCACCCACTCACCCACTCACCCACCCACTCACTCACTTACTCAC